GAAGGCCTGTAACCGTGTAGGGAATAATAAAGCGCCGGGATTGGACGGAATCCCTAATATAGCCTTGAAAACCATCATAAAGGCAGCTCCAACATTATTCCTAGACGTTTATAATGCATGCCTTAAGGAGGGGACTTTCCCGCATAAGTGGAAACAGCAACGATTGGTACTGTTACCTAAAGGGAAGAAACCACCGGATGAACCGTCATCTTACCACCCACTTTGCATGCTAGATACAGCGGGTAAGATATTTGAACGCATAATTCACCAGAGAATTGAAGCAGTAGTCGACCCACTCCTGGCAGACAATCAGTATGGATTCCGGAAAGGACGATCAACCCTGGACGTAATCAAACTGGTCGTTGATACGGCCAAGGAAGCAATCGCAGGAACCAGATGGAAGGGTAGAACGAAAAAGTATTGCCTGGTGGCGACCCTAGACATCAGAAACGCATTCAACTCCGCCAATTGGGAATGCATCATGCAGGCCCTTCAAGAGAAGAATGTACCAGAATACCTTCTTAAGATCGTAGCAAGCTACTTTGAAAATAGAGTCCTGAAGTATGACACGAAGAACGGTCCGAGGGAGTATGATATTACTGGAGGTGTACCACAAGGTTTAGTCCTAGGCCCGCTGGTTCCATGATTTTTGATCATTTAATAATTATAAATTATTGAAATTTATTATAATTATTAAATTATAAATTATAAATTTATAATAATTTATAGTTATTATTTCAGAAAAACCATATTTTGTCCGGGGATATTTTGTCGGGGGATCAAAACGCCTGATACCGGCCCGCTCCTGTGGAATATTATGTATGACGGTCTATTAAGACTAACCCTGCCAAGAAACGTCAAACTCGTAGCATATGCAGATGATGTAGCCATAGTGATCGTTGCCAAACACCTTGACGAGATAAACCATATGTTCGATCTCACTTTTGAGCGCGTTAATAGGTGGATGGACACAGTGAACCTCTAACTGGCGCAACACAAGACTGAGGCAGTGCTTATTACCAGCAGAATAGTGGTAGAGACCATTAAGCTGAAAGTCGGCGAACAAGAAATCACATCACAACCTTATATCCGATATTTGGGAGTGATGCTTGATGCCCGACTCAACTTCAAGCAGCAAGTGGAGCATGTCAGTGCCAAAACGTCAGAAGTGAGGGCTAGTCTCGCACGACTGATGCCGAACGTCGGAGGCCCAAAGCAGAGCAAGAGGCTATTATTGTCATCAGTTGTCACATCGGTGCTCACTTACGGAATATCCATTTGGGCCGACGCATTAAAGACGCAAGAATCATGGAGAAAGGCTGGACCAGTATATCGACTGAGTGCCCTACGAGTAGCTAGCGCCTTTCGCACAATATCAGAGGAAGCAGTGTGTGTTATTTCCGGTACTCTGCCTCTCAGAGTCCTAGCTGAGGAAAGACGGAACCTATATCAACGGAAAAGGTCAACCACACTGAGCCTTGAAGAACTTAGAAGCGAAGAACGGCAACACAGCATCGCAAGATGGCAACAAGAGTGGAATGCTTCAGATAAGGGTCGGTGGACGTACCGTTTAATACCTCGGGTTGATGTGTGGTTCAACCGGAGTCACCGGATACCCCAGAGTGCCCGTCCTGTCCAGGGGTCAATGAAGATGCGGAGCATGTCTTCTTTGTGTGTCCACGTTTCAACTAACAGCGCGATGAGTTAGAGAAGATTCTGAAGAAGAGTACTCAACTAGAGTCAATAGTAGAAGCAATGTTGTCGTCAGAAGCTGCCTGGAACGCCACAAGCATTTTTGCTACAAAAGTGCTTACCGAGTTGCGATCTATTGAGAGGAAAAGAGCGAAAGACCGAATCTAGAAGGAAGAAATAACATCTCAGCCACCAGAAGGAAGAGCGACAGCTAATTCCTCTCCCCGTGAAGAAATGCCTTACGGCGGTACCATGGGGGATCAGAGTATAGAAGAGAAAGGGGTTTAGGGTTTAGTGGGTAGGGGCGCCAGTGTCGAGTTTTAGTATGACGCGGCGTCGAGTCGCCACATATCCAGGCCAACAGCTATGCCTAGAATCCGTAAAGAGGATTCCCCCCCCCCCCAAAAAAAACACACACACACACCATCGCAAAAATAGTCAGGGAAGCTTCTGTGAAATAAATAGTTTTTTAACAAAAAATATAGTAAATAATGCTTTTATTTAACTCACGACCTAGTTTGTGCTTTACCTTTATAATTTTTTCTATAATTCAAAAATTCTAAAATGCGTTTAATGGAAAATATTTTTTCTTGCTCTCCTAGCCGAAAGTACGCTCTTCCTGGACGCACTTTACTCCAGGAAGAGCAACTTTTATGGCCTGATCTCTACGCATGCGCGCTACGCATATTTTCTGGCCGGCAGCACAGAACCTTGTGTTTTTTCGTACTTTCGTGGTGTGACCGGCCTATACAGCGAGTTTCGACAGTATATAACAGTCACAACATCGTCTGTATGTAACATGCCAGCGCATAAACTAACCAAAAAATGTCAAATAAATAATAGTATATTACATACCTAGGCCAGTAAAATAAGAAAAGTCTCAGATCACATGTAATTGTTGGCCGAGGCGAAGCCGAATATTGATTCATTTATTTGTTTAATATTTATTATTTATTTATTTATTTATTTATTAATAAATATCTATTTATTGAGAATGAGATTATATAAGCAATTATTTAGGATGTCGCAGTCGGTGTTGTACGACGTGATGTACGACACAGTGTTCTCGAGTGATGTTGGTGTCTAAGTCGGGCGACATCTTTAATTCTAGTCCAGATTGTCTCTAAGATTTCTTTAATTAAATTGATTTTATTTATTATTTTTTCATTCATTTGTTTAATATTTATTTATTTATTAATAAATATCTATTCATTGAGTATAAAATTATTTGAACAATTATGTAGGACGTCGCAATCGATGTCATGCGACGTAATCTACGACATAATGTGAATTTGAGTGATGTCGGTGTCTAAGTCGGACGACATCTTAAATTGAAGTCCAGATTGTCTTAAAGATTTCTTTAATTAAATAGTATTCATTTATTATTTATTCATTTATTTGTTTAATATTTATTCTTTATTTATTTATTTATAAATATTTATTTATTTAGTATAAGATTATTCAAGCAATTATCTAGGTTGTCGCAATTGGTGTCGTACGTCATAATCTACGACACATTGTGAACTTGAGTGATGTCGGTGTCTAAAGCGATCGTCATTCGCAATTTTAGCCCCGCTTGTTTTAATAGTATTTTTTCCAGATAACACAATAATTCATTTCATATAAAATGATTTAGACAATTTTTTAGAATGTCGCAATTGATGCCGCACGACATAATCTGCGACAGTATGAACTCGAGTTATGTCAGTCCCTGTGTCATTAAACGGTTCTTCTAATTATTTTCTAACTGCCTGATAATTATTATTCATTGTATCTATCAAAAATCATTTTTATTTAAAACAACGATACTCTTAATTTTTCTCTTTCAATCACATGAATATCTGTAGATTTTTATACACTAGTTCTCTCATGCACGTTTCGAAAAGCTATTTTCCTGTCATTTTGTATGTTAACCTTTTTTATACTTTACTATTGATTTATAATAGCATTTTGCAGTTTTCATAATGCGACGTCGAAGTGACGCACACTACGACTAGTCGTACGACGTCGAAACGCATCATTATTATTGTAAGCTATGGGACGGTTATTTAGGTCCTAAAAATAAAAAAAATAAACTAACATTGATGTGTCCTTGTAAGGCATGTGGCCCGAAAAAATCCGAAAAATAACTTGGATATTTTATCAATATCAGTTTAATCAGTCAAATAAGGCAATTGTTGAAAATACCTAACATTGCACAGGCTTTGAAGTACCGCTTTCGACAGGAAAAAAGAAATGATGAGGCTTTTGAAGATATTTATGACGGTCTGGAATATCAACGATTATGTTTACCGGGTAAATTTTTAGAAGAATGGTTTAATTTTTCTATGACATTTAATACTGACGGGTGCCAAATTTTGAAATCAACAAAAACGAGTGCTTGGCCTGTGTACGCTCAAATAAATGAACTACTGCCTCATATGAGGAAGAAATATGTTCTGCTAGCAGCTGTTTATGTCGGTGATAAGCATCCAAAAATGAATAACTTACTTCGATCATTTACGTTGCAGATGAAAGAACTTTTCACAAACAGAATAACTTGGAATCCAACGCCGACATCTGAAGTTACCTCAAGATTTGTCGTATTAGCCAGTACTTTAGATGCTCCAGCCCGCGCAGCAGTTCTTCGGATGAAGCAGTATAACGGCTATTTTAGTTGCGTACATTGTTAAGCAAAGGGGAAGCGTATTGCTAGATGATTAGTTTATCCCTATAAACAATCTTACCTAAAGTTACGAACGGACAAGAAACTGAAGGCAGCCATGAAGTTTGTTACTAAAACTCTCGAAATAAGGAATGGAGTGAAAGGATATTCATCTTTAACTGCTTTATCGTTATTTAGCATAACGAAAGGAGTCATAGTGGAAACGATGCATTCTGTTTTCTTAGGCACAGTAAAACTTCATACTACGATTTTAATAAAATCAACAGGTGCACCTTATTACATTGGAAATCAAGAAACCTTAGATGTTATTAATGAAACTTTACTGTCTATAAAGCCTCCATCTCGTCGTTCAAGGAAACCCAGAAAAATCCAATCGTATGCTCAATGGAAAGCATTGGATTGGTGCAACTGGCTAGATTACGCTTCTATTTGTCTTTCATCAGTTTTAGACATTAAATATGTAAACCATCTAAGTCTACTATCTAAGGCTATTCATTACCTAAATAGTGATTCTTTAATTTTAGCTGAACTTAATCGAACAGACACTTTGTTAAAAGAATATGCTCAACTATTAGAAGAATACTTTGGCGAAGTCAAAATGTCATCAAACATACATTCATTATCACATGTAATTGAGTGTATCCGAAATTGGGGTCCTATGTGGGTACATAACGCTTTTAATTATGAGTCATTGAATATAAAAATTGTAAATTTTGTAACCAGTTCTGTTGGCCAACAAGATCAAATTTTAACACGCTTTTTGATGCAAAGATTTATAAACTACACTGCATTTGATTCATCGATTTCGAACGAAACTATAAATTTTATAATGAAAAAGTTAAAAGTTATATAGATGAAACTAGTACAGTGGAGTTACACAACAAGTTCGTGGTGCAGAAAGAAAATAAAGCTCGTTCTTTGTCAGCAGAGGAAAACCAAGCTTTATTCGATGCTGGATACACTCCAGAATAACAGCTTTTATCATACGAAAGTATACATTTAAATGGAGTTAAATTCTCATCATTGAATGAAAATAAAATAACAAAATTTTCTGATTCGTTTATCTATAACGATACTGACGGTATATTCAGCGTAATCAACGCTGTTGTCCAATTTCATAGTGATAATAAACTTATTACTGGTATCATTGCTAACAACTTCTAACGTATTAATTATGGATTCAATACAGGCCTTCAATACAGAATTATATTCATATAATCAAGCCACAGAAAACCTTCAATTTCATAGAAGAAACGCGAATGATAAGACCGGCGATAAAAATAGAAACTGAAAAAGTAACTTATACTATATGTTCGGTGAACAAGGCCCAGTAGCGATGAAGTCGCTCCTGGGGGACTCTCAATTTCAAGAGACGCACCTGCAACCGCTAGTTCCCTCAAAGCCTAACCGCCTGCGCTTGACTGATCACGCCACATGTATCGAATTTTACTATTGGCTATCGATGTCGACATCAATAGAACGAATTTATTGATTGGACGATCGCTCTCGCTGGACATGCGCAATAGCCTTCTTCCCCAAGTCCACGAGGAAGAAGACGAATTATTATTATTATCTTTCGCATCTATTTTTCGTACGAACAAATCGCTTTTTGGCTTACTGAAATTTCGCTTTCTAAAATAACCGCTTTTCGCTTTTAACTAATTTTCTTTGCTTAACCCGGGGAAAACGGTTTAGATCTGACCAGATATAATTATATCTGGTCAGATCTGATTATATCTGGTCAGATCTATTTATATCTGATCAGACATGGGATCGGAGACATAATCAGATCTAGTTATATCTGATCAGATATAAACAGATATAACTATATCTGAGTTGAAAAATTCATCAGATATGATCAGATCTAGTCATATTTGATCAGATATAAACAGATATAACTATATCTGAGTTGAAAAATACATCAGACATGAACAGACATAGTCATATCTGATCAGATCTAAACAGATATAACTATATCTGGGTTGATAAATACATTAGACATGATCATATCTAGTCATATCTGATCAGATCTAAACAGATATCACTATATCTGGGTTGAAAAAAAAATCAGACATAAAAAGATTTTATTATATCTGGCCAGATACAACTATATTTGTTAACTATTAATAAATACTTATAAACTATTTTACTAAATATACTTTCCTCCCAAATAAATATTTATTGAATGTTAAAAAATATTTATTAGAATTTAATAAATTAAATAATTGTTTTCGAATAAATTAATTTGTTAATAGTTAATAAATCTTCCCATCAGCGTATATTGATAATTAATAATTTGCAATAAATTTGATAAAAAACTTTGTTTATTACGCATCGATCATGGACACGATTCACATTACTTGTACCCGAGAAAAACAAATTAGATCTGGCCATATATAAACAGATCTGGCCAGATCTGCTAAGGCTATTAACTATAGTTATTAAAAACTCTACCTACTCTCGTTTCAAGCAAGTCTTGTTGGTAAACAGGTAATGAATTAGTCTCTCAAGCGTCAGGTCCCAGGTTCGGTTCCCGTGCGCGCTGATTTTTTTTTTTTATTATGAAAATAATTCTATATAATTGTATATAATTATATATGGCCATTTTTCGTATATAATTATGTATGAGTATATATAATTATATATAATCATTTTTACCTGGGCAATTTTAAAATTTGACCAGATCTGGTCAGATCTGATTATATCTGGCCAGATCTCGTCAGATAGAGACAATTTAAAGATCTGGCCAGATCTACTAAGGCAGATCTGGCCAGATCTGTTTATATATGGCCAGATCTAATACGTTTTTCCCGGGAATTAACTTGCAATTAATTATATTTAGTGTGTTTCAGATAACTTACAATTATTTGTGCAGTAATTACCGCTTTTTACAGTGCCGGCAGTTTGCTCAACCACGTGCTAACCGGCTTCGCATTGATAACCACGCTGTATTTTACAAATCCGCTTTTATAAATTCAATCCGCTATTAAACAAGTTAAATATATAGTGTATTTATTGTTAATAAATCTCTAGTGTTATTTTTAATAATAATTTTTGTATTTTAATTGAGATATCCAGATCTAAACCTGGTCCCCGCTTTTTCCGCTCTTATAGCTTTTTACACTATAAAACTAGCAAATACATGGGAGACTGATTAAAAATAATGTAAATAACCATTTTTATGGGAAAGTACAATTTTTTTTTATAAAATTAAATTTACTTGTCATTTCGATTATAAAAACTTGTAATTTTTTATCAATAATACATTGAAAAAAAAATTCTCGACTGGAGTATAAATTTTCTTGGCTCAAGAAAATATTGAGGAAGGTTGAAAATTTCTTGGATGAAGTCAAAGTTTCTTGAGCCAAGAAAATTTTTTCTTGCTCCAAAATAATTTTCGTTTTCCTTAAAATTTTCTTGGCGCAAGAAATTTGTTTTTTGTGTGTAAATATCTTTGCCTACTGTAAATAAATATTTTTGCCTTATAAATATTTTTGCCTACCGTAAATAAAATAAATCAATAAAGCCAACTCATTTTTTATTTTACAGATCAATATAGCATAAGTAAATTTATATTTTTTCCATGATTTCAAAATGACAATCATGATTAATGATTCAAATTTTTGATAATTACGAAATTCTCGATTTTGAAATTACGATGAAATTATTAATCGTATAAAAAATATTCTTGAAAATAATTCACTAAAAATTTAATTTTTGAAAATAAAATATTTCATAACAATTTCCCTTAATAACAAATAATTTTGCCGTAATTTCGACATTGAAATTTCAATCACTAACAAAAAAATCAATTTAAGTGATGGATCTTCGTTGGTTGTATGTAATTTGATTAATTTTTTATCCCTCATTGAAAAAAAAAAGATTTAAAACGATTGAATCTAGCAAAATGTATATCTATATATTTGTCAAGTTGAATTGTTTTTAATCGCTTTGAGCTATTTCGAATCTTTTCGAATCTCTCTCATTATCAGGGATGATTTGACCTAGGGATAAACGAAATTACAATTTCATATTTTTTCAAATTTTTCATACTGATTATTTTTCTGGAAATTTCTCATTTGTCTATCTTTTTAAACACTTTTAGAATTTTTTATTAAAAAAAAAAAATTAAATATAGTCAATACTTACTCATTTTCAACTAGTAAAAAATTCCTGACTTATCGACATTATACGCTCATTTCACGGTCGTTTCACTAACAAACCACTGTGCATTCACCACTGAGTTACGGTTTTTTGACAAGACATATGTTTTCAAATGACTGTCAAATGACAGACGACTGATCGATAATCTACGATTTTTGAGATGATAAAAAATCGGGGAAATCAAGTAAAAATTTCGTTTTTCGACGAGTGAAGTATGACAACTATACAGAATAAAAATCATAAAGTAACAGTGAAAAACTTTCACAACGATACTCATCGTTCACTGTCAAACGACGGTCGTCCGACAGTCAAGCGACGGTTATTCGACGATAATTTATCGACACTGTGAATTGACGGTGCATTTACCATCGTTTCACCCCTGATAGTCACAGTTTCAGACCAACCAAGTTGGTGTCAGATAGTTGCCACCAACTAAGCGACAACTTGCGGTCAACTTCCGAATTTGTAACTGTTGGCGCCAAGTTGGCTACAAGTTTCTGTGAAAAAAGAGACCAATCTACTGCCGCAATATATTGAGAAACTTGTCGTCAAATTTCTTGAGAAACTTGTCGTCAACTTGGTGTGAAAAAGTTTCAGAGCAACTTTTGCCGACAACTTGGTGACAACTTGGTGAACAAGTTGACACCAACCGAGTTACTTTCCAAGACTTGCCGCTAAGTGATCGTGACCACGAATCCGCCAGGGTAGATACCTTTCAGCTGTTTTTATTTTATTTAAGTTATCAGTTGAACCCTAGTTAAAAAAAAAGATTCAACCCATGCAAAGTGTATATCTATATATTTGTCAAGTCGAATCTTTCTTAACCCTAACCGGTCACACCTCACCCAGGCCCCATAAGGACCACATGTAATTAGTCACCCCGTGTGGCTGGTAAGGGTTAATTTCTTTGAGCCATTTCGAATCTTTTCAAATCTCTTTTTCCAATCAGGGAATAGAAAAAATTTTTTTAATTAAAGAAAGCATCACTCGGCTGAAATTATATATTAAAAGAATAATATGTAAAGAAATTACTACACAATCATAGATTGGAGTGAGCTTACATTCAGTAATTACCGCTTACTATTTACCTAATTACTGCATTTTACAGTCATTAAGAGAATACACGTTGTGCGTATATGCCACGGGTGATAGGAGTGACATATTTTGCTGATTATGTGTAGATAGAATTAAACTATTAATATTGTTGTTATCGATCAAAGGATATAATTATTAAGAATAGTTATGTACCAAGAATGACTTAAATGAAAAGATATTAGGAAAAATTACATAGTTCCTGCTGTCTCTTTACTGTACAATAGTTGTTGCCTATCACTTTAAGTCGCTATGTTAACCATTATTAAAGTAACTGTTGTTATTGCAACCATTGACATAATAACTGTTTTGATTTAATTTTTTTGTAACAATTAGAATTTCTACCCTTGTCAGTTTCACTTCAAAAAAGTGTAATTACAGAAAAAAATAATTTTTTATTGGGCTTCGTTGTTTATTTTATTTTTGTTTTTTAAGACGATATTATGATTACGGTTTTAGTATTTTGTTAGTTAACGATAAATAAACAAAATTAATTGCTATGGCTATTTCTGCTATTAAAATATAGATTAAAAATAATAATTTAACTTAAATGCACACACGTTATACTTTTTCTGCGCACAAAATTAAGCAAAGTTTAAGATAAGATAAGCTTGAAGTTGAATTTTTGCATACAGATAAATTGTACATAAAAACTGACAGAAAAGTATTGACATGACTATTGAGTTTAATGTGTTTTCAATATTGAAGAAAATAAA